CTTTGCCAGAGCTCTTCCTCCTCCGCTGCCGGCCGAGGACGCTACCTTAAAGAGAGGGTATCTCTGAGGCTTTCCCTCCCCACCCACCTACCCACCCGCGAGAAATTCCGACCGAGATGAAAACACCTGGGAGCAGGCATTGGTCTTTGCGTGTGTTTGTGTAGAAGGGGTTGGATACACCTGCAAAAACCAGGTGCCTGGATTGGACCGGATTGCTCCTAGCCCCACGCCAAGCGCAGAGGGGCTGACATGTCTTCCCATTGCGTGTGCTCATCAGCCTTGTTCTTAGCTCCCCCATCACAACCATTCTTTACTCTTTACTGCCTCTCCTCCCCCAGGGTCTCCTCCCCCCAGTCCGTATCCCCTGCTGCAGTTGGAACCGCCTCTTATTTTTCCCCTCAAGGTTTCCTGTGGCAGGAGTCCCCTTAGAGGGCTCGAGCTTGGGAATCCGAGCCCCCTGCTCCACCCCTGTCGGCCATTCTCTGGAAATGATGACTTTGGTGACTCCCTTTCCTCCCCCCGGGCCTCAGTCTCCACATCTGTAAAATAAGGGTGGAGATCTGTAAGACACCCCCAGGTCCTCTTGTAGCTCCATCTGTTTGTGTTCGTAGCCTATGTTTTCAAGCTGGTTTGACTTTTATGATCTTTAACATCTTTTAAAGACAATGTTTGTGTTTATCCTTTTGGGAATGAGTATAATTTAAGGAAGGAGAAGCCCACAGCGCTGGTTTTGGGCAGGGTGAGTGTGTGGTGGTTGGGGTTTGCTGTCATCGCAACATTTCCCACAGAGCTTAACTCCTGGGTTTCAGGGCCCCTCCAGCCATCTTTTAGAATGAGATATCCTCTCATTTCATTGTGATCTCTTCATCTCACTTCCTGGGCTTGTTTAAAATGTCAGGCCATCTATGCAGAAAAGTGAAGGAATGAATGATTAACTTCTTCCGTGTCTGAAACATACCTTAAACATCACACCTGTGTCTTAAACTGTTTGCATAGCAGTCTTTCCATGGTCTGCAAGGCTTATGAAAGAGCTCAATGCCTTACATAATATTTTTTTTTCCCTTTTGACTCAGTATTATCACTTTCCCATTCATGTGTGAATTCATTTGTCCAGCAATATTTATTGAGTAATTACCAAATCTAAGGACTGAGGAAGGAAGTCATGAGGTACATAGGCAATCACAACTAACAGGCATCCTACACTACTCTGTATGTCAACCCATCTCATCCTCAACGTTGCTTTGAAAGGGTACTGCTGTTACCCCCATTATACACAAGAGGAAACTGAGGCATGGGGAACTTAAGTATCTTCCTTAAGTGTCTTGTTCTTTAGTGACAAATGACTTCCCTGTCTTCAGGCAGCCCTTCCTGCCCTTTATTACATACACAGTGTGAAGAGACCCCTCACACCCTGACATTCTTCCTGTCTCAATTTATACACCTTTTGTTCCTACCAAACTGAACTGGACAGTGCCGGGTTTTACGTTTTCACATCCCCTGCCAAGCCTAAGAGAGGGCCTGGTACACAGTTGGAGCTTATTAGATGCCTGTTGAGTTGAGCAAGCTATTGTACTATATTATACAATGATGCCCTGAAAGAAGCTATGGAATTTTTTAGCTTCTTTTTTAAAAAAAATATATTTTTATTGATTTCAGAGCGGAAAGGTGAGGGAGAGAGAGATAGAAAAATCCATGATGAGAGACAATCATTGATTGGCCACCTCCTGCACACCCACCTCTGGAGATGTGCCCTTGGCCAGAATCGAACATGGGACCCTTCAGTCCTCAGGCTAATGCTCTATCCACTGAGCCAAACTGGCTAGGGCAGCAGTTCTCAACCTGTCTCGAACGACCCTTTCACAGGGGTCGTCTAAGACCATCGGAAAACACATATATAATTACATATTGTTTTTGTGAGTAATCACTATGCTTTAATTATGTTCAATTTGTAACAATGAAATTGGGGGTCACCACAACATGAGGAACTGTATTAAAGGGTCGCAGCATTAGGAAGGTTGAGAACCACTGGGCTAGGACAAATTTCTAGTTTTTCGACTCATCTTTCCAAGCCTCTTTTTTTTCCTATCTTGGTTGCCCCTTCTTCCTGCCATCTTTGCACCTGTCCACCCTTCGAATTTGCTGCCAAGGCCTGAGGAATCATGCAACGAGTCATGTGGAAATCAACTCAGAAAATAAAAGACAATTGGCTTTAAATGAGGGCTTGGTCACTCTCAACACATCACAGGCGTGGGCTTAGGGCAAGTGGTCGGCAAACTCAGTCAACAGAGCCAAATATCAACAGTACAACGATTGAAATTTCTTTTGAGAGCCAAATTTTTTAAACTTCAACTATATAGGTAGGTACATTGTTATTAACTTAATTAGGGTACTCCTAAGGCTCAGGAAGAGCCACACTCAAGAGGCCAAGGAGCCGCATGTGGCTCGCGAGCCGCAGTTTGCCGACCATGGGTTAGGGCATGAGGTTTGTGGCGAGTGTTTTCCTCTTTAGAACTTGTTTTCTTAATGTTGATTTTTAGCTGTTTGGAAGAGCTGAGGATCCCAGTGAGCATTGCATTTCTCTGGGCTTTTAAAATTTGGCTTGGTTGATTTTGTTAAAGCTAAACAAGGAGCAGACGGAAGTGTCTCACCATGCTGGTGTATGCGCCAGTCATGTTACCTGGTAAACCGCTTCTGAGCTGGCCATTTCGCACTCATCCCTGAAGGCTTGGTTCAGGAATGATCTTTCTGGCATCTCTGTGAGGCCTTCCTTGAGAAACCCCTCCCCCACTCCCCATACCTGGCCCTTTCACACCCTTGCTCCATTCCTTAAGAATCCTGACCCTCTTTTAAGTGTTCCCCCATCATATCTTGGCACTTCCAGAGTAAGCTTGTGTCTTATTCATCTTTGGTCTTTGTTTCTCCTTCCTTTATCACCCAGCACAATACCTAGCACTTTGTAGATGCTGAGTATTGTTTGTTGAATGAATATAACTGGCCCATTAAATCTTTGGGATGTAAAATTTGCCCATCAACATCTGTAATCAGCATCTGTAAAGGATTTTGAAGTCAGACCTTTTGAATTTCAAGGCTGCCATTTTCTAGCTGTGTGTTCTCAGGTATGTGTTCTAACCTCTCTGAGCCCCAGAGTTCTCAGCTATAAAATGAAAACAATAATTATGAGGACCAAATAAGATTTTATATATATTCATTCCAGTCTGATGCCTAACACATGGTAGAGGCTAAAACAGCCGTGGGCAAACTACGGCCCGTTTGAAATGAATAAAACTAAAAAAAAAAAAGACTGTACCCTTTTATGTAATGATGTTTACTTTGAATTTATATTAGTTCACACAAACACTCCATCCATGCTTTTGTTCCGGCCCTCCGGTCCAGTTTAAGAACCCATTGTGGCCCTCGAGTCAAAAAGTTTGCCCACTCCTGGGCTAAAATCTAGACACAATCATGTCTCTTACTCTGTCTCATCCAGATTAACTGGTTCCAATGTGTTCAGTGTGGATAGAGCCATCAGTATGCAAAATTTTTAACGGATCCCCCTTCCCAATAATTCCAGCATCAAATAATTCAGTGTTCCCACCT